TAATTTCAGAAGCTGGACTTAATGAAGAAGAGTGTGGCATCAATATTGGAGAAAGATCCTTATATGGATGACACAACAACCTTGCTTGTAGAAAGTGAGAAGGACTTGAAGTGTTTGCTGCAGAAGATCAAGGAATACAGCCTTCAAGAAAACAAAAATCCTTGTGGACACAAAGATGGTAAAATTCCATCGCACATACCTTGAACATGTCATTAAGAGAGAACAGTCCAGGGAGCTCTGGTGTCCTAGTGGCAAGAAGCTGCACTGCAATCCCGAAGGTGCCAAGTTCAAATCCTCCAGATACTTTGGAGAAGGATAGGCAGACTCCTCCTGTGCCAGTCAGATCCAATCAGCACACAACAAGAAAAAAAAAACCAACACAAAAGCAAGCAACAACCACCAAAAGAGAGAGAGAAGACCAAGCCTTGGAGAAGGATATCATGCTTGGAAAGGTGGAGGTCAGTGTAAGAGAGGCCCCTCGACAGGATGAACTGATACAGTGACTATAGCAATGGAATCAAATGTGTTGGACATGGTAAGCTTGGTTCAGGATAGGGCAAGGTTCAGAGTTGTTGTTCACAGGGTTGCTATGTGTTCTTTTCAATTTGATGGAACATAATAACAATTTGTGTGTATTACTCTTCAGACTATGTAACTCTTTGTTACTCTATGCAAAGGGTAATGACATCTACAAACAAAGATAATTTTATTTTTTCCTTATTAATTTGGGTATCTTCTTTTTCTTACCTTATTACTTTGGTAATAATAATACTCATTACAATGATTTCCAGTAAAATACTGAACAAAACCCCAAATGAAATCAAACCAAACTCATTACCAGAGTCAATTATGACTCATAGGCCATAAAAGAACTGCCTTAGAGATTCCAAGATTATAAATCTTTACAGATGTCAATTGTTATCTCTTTCCCCATTGAGAAGCAGGATGTGCCTGAACCGCTAACAGTCAACTGCTTTACATATATGCCACCAGGGCTCTAGAAATATTAAATATGAATGTTGATATAGATACTTTCTGATTCTCAAAACAAAAGCTATCAATTCTGGCTGCTAATTTTACATGTTGTTAGGTGCTATTAAGTCAATTTCAATTCACAGAGTCCCTATATGTACAATAGGTCCGAAGCACCATCCACACAATCTCCACTGTTCTTAAGCTCATTGTGGAAGTTACTGTGTCCATTCATCTCAAGTGTCCTCTTCTCTTTTAACCTTCCACATTTTCAAGCATCATGTCCTTTCCCAAGGACTAGCCTCTCTTTATAACACTTAGGACATGTGAGACCCTTAGCCCCTCAAGACTCACTAGACAGTAATTCTTCCAAGACAGATTTGTTTGTTCTCTAGGCAATCCAGAATATATGCAAACTCTTCACCAATAACACAATTCAAAGGCACTATTTTTTTTCCTTTGGACTTCCTTAGTCATTGGACAACTTTCACAAGTATATAAAGTAACTGAAAATATCATGGTTTATGTCAGGTGCATGTTAGTGTTTACATTGACGTCTAGGGCTCTTTTAAAGAAGCCCTTGATGGTAAATTTGCCCAATACGTCTTTTAATTTCTTCATTCTAAAGAAATGGATATTGATTTTTGAGGCAAGTAAAATTAAATCCATTAACTTCAATCTTCTCCATTTATCATAATGTTGCATACTGGTCAAGTTCTAAGAATTTGTTTTCTTGGTGTAGTGATGCAATTCATATTGAAGGTTGTAGCTTGTATTTTTTCCTCCCCGCCCCCCCCCCCAGTAAGTGCTTAAAGTATTCTTCACATGCAGTAAGCAAGGTAGAATGCATTGTTGGTATTTTTCCAATCCTGATGCCACATTATTCTTCACATAGCCAGCTTCTCTTATTATTACATACTAAATAAGTATGGTGAAAGGATACAATACAGAACAATACCTTTTCTGATTTTAAAACAGGCAGTTCCTCATGCTCTGAGTTACCACTTCTTGTTTTTTGCAGAGCTTCCACATAAGCACAATTAAATTTTCTGGAAGTCTCCTTCTTCCCAATGTTACCTATAACTTAATTATGTTCCACATAGCCAAATGCCTTTGCACAGTCAATAAAACACACATAAGCATCTCTCTGGTATTGTCTGCTTTCAATCAAAATCCATCTGACATAAGCATGGATATTCCTCATTCAATAGCTTCTTCTGAATCCAGCATGAATTTCTGGCACCTATTTGTTAATGTACTACTCCAGCTATATTCTAAAATATTCTTAAAGATATTACTTCCATGTGATATTAACTATACTGTTCACCAATCTCCACAATCTATTAAATCACCATCTTCTGGAATGGGTACAAATATTGGTTTATTTTTGCCATTAGCTGACCATGTAGCTGCCTTCCAGATTTCTTGAAATAGACAAGTAACTTATCCAGGGATGATGTATTTTGCTGAAGCTCTTTAGCTGATACTCCATCAATTACCCTAGTCTCATATTTTGCCAATGACTTCACTGTAGTCTGTATATCTTCCTTCATTACCAGTATTTCTTGATCTTATGCTACTTCCAGAGGAGCTCCAGTGGCCTAGTGGCAAGAAGCTGTGCCACAATCCCAAAGGCACGCAGTTCGAGTTCACCAGCTGCTCCATGTGAGAAGGATGGGCAATCTCCTGCTTCTGAAAACCTGCTGGAGGGTCAGCTGTGGGTCAGTTATGACTTTGTGGTACATAACAACAACAAACAATGCTACTTCCAGAAATGGTTTTATCTCAGCCCATTCTTTTTGTTACAGTGCCATCCTCAGACAACACGACACACGAGAGCAGCACCCCATCTCCTGTGCCATATTCACACATCTTTACATAAGAGCAGTACTCCATCTCTCCTGGGCCATCCTCACACTCCTTCACACACTACAGCAGCACCCTGTCTCTTTTGTGCCATACCCACTCACCTTCACACAATAGCAGCACCCCGTCCTCTCCTGGGCTATCCTTACCCTCCCTTACATACTACAGCAGCACCCTGACCTCTCCTGGACAATATTCACACTGTGTATTCCCTTTGATTAGCAGTATAACAGGTTCCAGACTACACCAAATTCCTAATTTATGAGGTTTTATATATAAGCTTGCAATTCCTTATTTGCATCTCAACTTTGCCCTATTCTAAACCATCCTCATAGTCTGAGTCCACTGTTAAAGCCACTATGTCAAACCATCTCACTGAGAGTCTTCTTCTCTTTCACTGACCATCTCTTTGCCCCAACATGATGTATTTTTCCAAGGAGCAACATCTCCTGATAGCATGCCCAAAGTAAGTGAGAAGACGTTTCATCAGCTTTGCATAGGCTGTACTTCTACCAAGAGAGTAACCATATACCTGATAAAAAGAATTACTATGTTGTTCTTGTTAAGTGCCACCAGGTTGAGTACAACTCATAGCAACCCTCTGAACAACAGATCTGAACCCTGTCATGTGCCATCCTCATAACCTCTGATACACTTGAACCTATTGCTGCAGTCACTGTCAATTCATCTCATTGGGGGTCTTTCTCTCTTTTGCTGACCATCCACTTTTCCAAGCATGATCCCCTTTTCCAAGGAAGAGCCTCTCCTTGTAATATGTCCAAAGCATGAGAGTTGAAACTTCCCTATCCTCGACTTTAAGGAGCACTTGAGCTCACTCTTTCCAAGACATAGCTGTTTGTTCTTTTGATTGTCCATGGGGTATCCTATACTCTTTTTCAACATCACAACTCATAGGATTCAATTCTTCTTCAGTCATCCTTAGTCACTGTCCAGCTCTTGGCCTGAATCAGATGCATCTTAGTCAATCTGCACAGCACAGATTGTTGTTGAGTCTTCCTCTCATCCTGATACCAATTTCTCTTCATATAGTTCCACTTCAAAAATTATTTGATCAGCATACAGACTGAATAGGCATGGACAAAGAATACAACCTTGACATACACCCCTCCTGACTGTAAACCATGGAGGGTTTCTTTGCTTCAGACAACAGTTTCTTAGTCTAGGTACAGGTTTCATATGTGTTTTGATTCCTGTTCTTCTCAATTAGCCATTGTTTTTTATGATCCACAGTCAAGTGCCTTTGTACAGTCAATAAAATACAGGTAGACAGTCTTCTAGTATTCTCTGCTTTCAGCCAAAGTCTATCAGATACCTGGTGCCATAGCCTCTTGTAAACTGCACTTGAACTCTTGGCACTTCCCTGTCAGTATACTGTTTTATTCATTTTTGGATTATTTTCAGCAATATTTTGCTTGCATGTGATATAATAATATTGTTCGATAATTTACACATTCTGTTGGATCAGTTTTCTTGGAATCTCTTCCAGTCAGCCTGCCATAGTATCATAATGTATTTAATAAGATTTTACTGGCCACCTGTTAAAAAATGACCAGTCCTGCCTCCTACTCTGTCATAGTCCAGAAGCTCTGGTGCAACTTGTTACTATGAATGGCCTTGCCATCCATATTAGTGAAATCCAACAGCACAGTATTATGCAAGCCATCGTAGTACAGCTGACAGACAAGTCTCTGAATGCCGCTTAGAAACAAGGGTGGTAACACTTGGTCTCAAATACCTTAGGCATGTTATCAGGAAGGGCCAGTCCCTGGAGAAATACATCATACTTGCCAATGAAAATAAAGAAATGGATTGATATAAAAGCTGCAGCAATGTACTGAAACACAGCATCAACAGTGAGAATGACACAGGATTGAGCAATGTTTTGTTCTACTGCATTGAGGGTCATTACGAGTTGGAAATCAATAGCACCTAACAATAAAAACAATAAAATAGTTCATCGAATATTTGAGTTATTTACTAAATTTTAAACTCCTTGAGCCTGTGATTAGAATCTAAGAGTGAGTAGTGTCCAGTACATAATAGAACTTGTTTTTCTCAATCAGTTTATACTACATTTTCTGGTTACAGGTAGATATTAAAATTGACTTACTAAATAGTACTTATTTTATTTAATTAATTACCTTTTTCGGAAGGCTGATGTGCTTTCTCCATTATCATCTGCAAAGTTAAATAATTTTGCATCATAAAGGATATTTTTCTCAGATATTATTTCAGTGTCAATATAACTTTTGCTTTTCTGAGAAGCAGCATAGGTCAGCTTGCCAGCAGCATGTGCTAGGCCATTGTTTCCTGACCCTCCTACATTAAGATTATCTTCTTCATACTTATTGGAGTGGAAGGCAAACTGGAAGTTTTGTTTTGGTGAAAAAGAATTTGTGTCTTCAGCCATTATCTTTAAATTTGATGTTAACTTTGTGGGTCTCTTTTCTTGGCCTATAAAAAAAGAAATACATTAATATTCTATATATTTAATCAGAACAAATTTTCAAAATGATTGTATAAAAATTCCACAAAAGGTTTTAAAAATATCAAACGTGAAACCCATAAAACTATTACTAGTACAGTAACAGGATTATCTGTAATATCATATAAGGTTTGTATACACAAGTCCTTTAATTTTTATGGAATGCAAGAGCTTAGTCATAAGGAATTGTGCTGTGATAGAAAAATACGCAGATCAATTCCACCAGCTGTTCCATGGAAGAATGGGCATGTGATTTACTGCTGCTGAAGGATCAGCTATGAGTTGGTCTAACAAGATGATACACAGCAACAACAGCACTGAATGGTACTCAGAAATTAATTTAGAATTAAATGAGAAAATACATAATGCACCTTACAAAACAGGCTTAATTCTGACCCCCAAAATTATCTAATTATTTATTTATTATACTACAAATGACAAAGTTATACAAGTACAGTTTTTTAAGTTTATAGAAATAATTTACACACAAATATGATGACCAACCATAAAATGTCCAAAACTCAAATCAGTGCCACTGAATCAGTTCAAAGTCACGGTGACCTTCTATTGAGTTTCTGAGGCTATAAATAGCATCGAGAGGAAATTTCTCATTCCCCTCCCCCTAGTGAGTCACTAGTGAATTAGAACTACTGGAGATACACCACCTTTGTAGAAACTCACTTCAGACTATGTCACCAAAATTCTCCCATATAAAATGCTATTGTACAGAAATCAATATTGCAATTTATTATATACCACTAATTCATTTGTCTTCAATTTAGAACTTTAAAAAATTGTTTCTATCATGAAGATAGAACATGAATAGTTTTTATGGACATTATAAGCATCTTTGGAAGATTTTAGGGGTAGACTGGAGGCAGGCATTTTTACGGCTCAAATTTGTTGTTTTAGATATGGATATAAGGTAGGTATCATTTGATGCATAGGCGTTATATATATATTTGCATGTGTTATATATGCTTTAATATGTAGCATATATGTAAGTTGTGAAGTTTAATAAAGACACATTAAATTACCATCTAATTAAAGAATGAAATTATATTACATATATTGTTTAGGTATGCTTATGACTTTTTATAAAAATGTAATCACACTGTGTATATCAAAACCAAACCACTGCCATTGACTCAGTTCTAACTCACAGCAAACCTGTATATGAAAGAGTAGTAATACACAGGGTTTTTTGGTTGTATATGATCTTAATGGAAGCTTCCCATGGTATTGCTGAGTGGGCTTGAACTACCAACCTCTGAGTTAGTCAAATGTACCTTGTTTTTAAAACTTAATATATTTCAGGAATCTGGTTTCTAATTAGATGATTCTACCATTAGTACAAGGTAAGAAAAATACTGAAGATCAAAGGCTAAAATTCCAAAAGTCAAGGAAAAACATGAAAGTCACTCACAATAATCACATCAGGGGTCGGTAAGAGCATAAGTGTGCATTATATATGTATCAAAACCTAAAAACCCTCAATGCTTTTGAATCAATTTTGACTCCTAGTGATCCTCCATCGAGTTTCTAAGGCTACAAATCTTAATAGGAGGAGACTGTCTATCTTTTTTCCCTCAGAACCACTGGAAGATTCAATTGTCAGAGATGTTCAGCCCTTTGGTTTGCAGTGCAACATATTATAGCCTATGCTACCAAAGCACAGCTCGGGCTTGGACATGCTCTATTTTGTGTTTTTGTACAGGGTAAGAAAATTCTTAAGACTTTATGGTTCTATGAGTGATATTTCAACTAAGTGAAATCTCTTTCATTTTGTTTCACTAAAATAACAGGCAGATATTCTCAGATATTATTATTTATATTGGTATGAGCTACATGGATTTGGTATCAAAACAAATGTATAATTCACCTAACAGCATATAGCTTTCTATTTCTTTCTCTAAAACTTGAGTAGCTGGAATTTCTGAAATCAATGGAGCAGGTGGAAGAAACCAATCTGATGATTCTTCATTGTCTGGAGAGCTACAGAAAATAGAGAATGTGAAAATAAACATTAATAAGGATATAGCATTAGATATTTATTAATTACTCACACTCTCAGATAACCGTCTCATTAATAAAATTGATATTATTGCTATCATTTTTTGTTTTATAACTTTGATTTATCCCTATATAGTAGCATTCTTTTTTCTCCTACATGTAAGATCAATAACTTTGCTACATGAGATACACTATCAAATGGCTCTAACTCTATCTTCTTTTCTCAAAATCAAAAGCCAGTGACAGCATTGTTACATATACTCCAATATTTGGGAGGAAAAGTAGTAAGTCCTCAAACCTTGTAAATGTTGTTCTTAGATGCCAAAAGTCAGCTCCAACTCATAGTGACCTCATGCGCACAAGAAAACACAACCCCATTGGATCCTAAGCCGTTCTCACAATCTCTGCTATGTCAATCCATCTCATTGACCCTCTATCTACTTTACCAAGTATGATGTTGTTCTCTAGGAACTGGCTCATCCTGATAACATGTCCAAAGTATGTGAGACCAAGTCTTAATTTTCCTTTCTTGGCAGTCCATGATGGTATTCAACACTTTTTGAGACATCATGATGCAAAGACATCAGTTCGTCTTCTCTTGCTATATCAATGCTGGTCAGTCAGAATCAACTCATAGCTGACCCTTCATTGGGTTTCCAAGGCTATAAAACAAACAGGAGGAGATTGTTCATCTTTCTCCCATGGAACTGCTGGGGGATTCAAACAAACAGAGAGGTGTAGCCTTTGATTCAGCAGTGCAACAGCTTTGCATCAGAGCATCCCAATTCTTCCAGTCTTCTCTACTGATCATCCAACTTTCACACACATATGAAGCAACTAAAATTACCATGGTTTCAGTAGCTTACAAATGCCCAAGGATTTCTTTCATTTCCATGTGTATTAGTAGTGCCTACTGCAGTGTTTTCTAGAATTGGGAATGTTTTGTTCTTTAGCTTGTTGGTTGTTGTTAGGTGCCTCTGAGTACAACTCACAGTGACCGTAGGAGCAACATATCTGAACCCTGTTCTTTCCTGTGCCATCCTTACAATCTGTGAAACACTTGAGTCCATTGCTGTAGTCACTGTGTCAATCCACCAGGTTGAGGATCTTCCTCTCCTTCACTCTTCCTCCACCTTTCCAAGATGTTTCTCTCCAAAGAACAGCTTCTCCTAGCAACCTGCCCAAAGTATGCAAGATCAAGCTTTACCATCTTTGCTTCCAAGGAGCACACCGGCTGTACCTTTTCCAAGACATATCTGCTTATTCTTCTGGCTCTTTATCTGGTCTTTGATCAATGTTGTTTAATGCTTCAAACAATCTTTAGATGATCTTGACATTAAGATGGGATAGATTCAAGATTGTAATTTGGTTCTCAAGAACTTATTTTCATTTCCTTCAGCCTCAATTTGAACTTACATATGAGTAATTGATGGTCTGACCCACAGTTCGCCACTGGCCTAGTTTTGACAGCCAATATTGAGCTTACAAAAGATTCCTTCTACAAATATAACCAATTTGATTCCTATGCAGCCTATCAGGTGAGGTCTATGTGTAAAATCACCATCTGTAGCTTCAAGAAAAGGTATTTGTCTTGACTAAATCATTGAAAATTCAAAATATGATTGTTCTATTTCCATTCAATTCTATCACCAAGCCCATATTTTTCAATTTCTTGGTATGTATGTGAGAGCTGGACAATGAATAAAGATGACAGTAAAAGAACTGACACCTTTGAGCTGGGTGTTGGAGAAGAGCACAGAACATCCCATGGATGGCCAAGAGAATTAATAGATATGTCTTGAAGAGAGTGCAGCCAGAGTGCTCTTTGGAGGGAAGAATGATGAGGCTTCACCTCACATATTTTGGGCATGTTGCTGGGAGAGGCTATTCCTTGAAGGACATGGTGCTGGAAATGGTGGAGGGTCAGAGAAGGAGAGGCAGACCCTCAACCAGGTGGATTGACATGGTGACTGACGAAATGGACTCTTGTGTATCAGGAAGAATGAGGTCGGTGCAAGACAGAACAGGGTTCAGATCTTTTGTTCATAGGATTCCATGCATTGTACTTGACTTGATGGCACATAACATCACCACCACTCCTGAAAACCCTATGAACAATAGAGGAATGAAGATAGTTTCTTTTGGTTGTCCATAGGATATTCAGTACTCTTCTCTAACACCACAACTCAAGGGTATCAGTAATTCTTCTGCCATCCTTATTCACTGTCTAGCTCTAAAAGGCATAGCAAGTGACTGAAAAGAGCATGGCCTGAACAAGCCATACCTTGGTCCTCAAACTTGACATCATTGTTCCTCAATAATGGGGAGAGGTCCTTGACTGCAGATTTTCCTAGTGCAATAAGTCTCCTGATCTCCAGACTGCTGGTACCAAGTGTATTGTTAGTGAATTAAAATAAGATGAGGTTGTTGACACTCTAAATCTTTTCTCCATCAATCAAAACATTAACTATCATCCAGCGGTAACAATTTTTGTTTTCTTGACATTGAGATGCAATCCATATTGAAGGTTGTAGTCTTTGATCTTCTGCAGTAAGCACTTCAAGTCCTCCTCAGTTTAAGCAAGCAAGGTTGTGTCATCTGCATAATGAAGGTGATGAGTCTTCCTCCAATCCTGATGCTATATTCTTTTTATTGGGTCCAATTTCTCAAGTAATTTGCTCAGCACACAGATTAAATAGGAATGGAGAAAGGAAGCAACTCTGATGCACACCTCAATAAATGTTTGCTGATTTAATTCCATAGCTTTTAACACATAATCAAGTTTGAGATATCCACCCTATAATTTAAAGTCCTCTACAATCTACCATCAAATTTATGTCCTACTTTATGAACCTACTCCAACAAAACTTTTCTATACACTTTACCTTAAAATACCATGACTTGACTGCATCTCCATTTATTTTCTCTTGCTATTACAATATTAACTAATTAACCACATCCTTTATGCTATAAGGATTACCACAGCTTTGAAAAACTCCACTCTCAGTAAACCTGACTTTAGCAGTCTAACCCAAAATGACTTAATGAAATCTGCAACTTCATCACATGAACATATGCTTACCAATTGTTTTGTACATATTTTTCACTTTGTATTGTTTGGACAATGATTATACGTTCCAATTTGATCAGATCAGTTCTGAATAATAACTATAGCTACAATTTGGATGCATTCTTTCACTTTCTTTTTTTTACTATATGATTTTATTATATGAAACATCCTGAAAAGTCCCTTGCTCTGTTCAGATAATAGCATTTTGGTCTAGGTTTTGCATGAGGCACAATCAAATGTTCTGGGATTTCCATTCTTCTCAGTGTTAGCCACAGTTTGTCGTGGTCCACACAGTCAAATGCCTTTGCATAGTTGATAAAATACATATAGACATCCTTCTGGTGCTTTCTGCTTTCAGCCAACATCCATCACACCTTAGCTGGTGTTCACACAACAGTTGTGCTTTTTATGTTAGTTTATAGAGAAAGCATTTCTATTAATCACCATTGTTTTTCTGAAATTTGTAAAACAGAGGTATATAGTATGTGACACATGTATTTATTTATTCCACAGTCAATGCATGGAGGTTTTAAAGATTATTAGATCTATGACAATTTTAAAAGCCAAAAAAGAATTTGACTCAAATAAAGTTGAATTCCACTTAATTATAGTATCAGAATTGAGGCGTACTACAAGATGTAAATAATAGCTACTTTGAAAAATTATACCTAGCTTGTTATGTCGGAACTGACTCATAGCTGACCCTCCAGGATGTTTTCAGAGACAGTAAATCTCACAGTAAGAGATTGCCCATCTTTCTTCTGCAGAGCAGCTGGTGGATTCAGGCTTTATATCACTGAAATGACAGTGCAATTCCTGACCACTAAGCCACAGAGGTTTCCTATACCTTAATTAAGTATTTTAAAAGTTTAGGACCTAAAATGATTTCTTTTTTTGTTGTTCTGTTTGGTTGAGCTGTTTGTTTTAATTAATCTTTGGCTAAAGATAATTTAATTTCCAATATACTTAAAAGAAATAGACTAGAATGTAACTAGATGAATGCTGCACCCAGGAAGAATGTTGTAAAAGTGTCTTACTATAAACTATTTATATTTATATAGTATTATATTTCTTTTCTTTTTAGTATTACATTTCTTAGGGTTTTTTTTCTGAGGGTTTTATGTTTATTGGTTTGTTGGTGTGTGTGTGTGTTTTAAATAATTTTAATGAACATTTACAGAGATTTTGGATTTCCATTCATTCATTGCCGCACTTCTCTCCCAGCCCAGCACTCCCCCCACCACCCCAGTTCGCTCCTCTCTTTGAAAAGTAAAAGAAACACTCCCTCCCTGATATACAATCCCCCCGCACCCCTCCCACCGCCCCAAGTACATTCCACTATGCAACCTTAATTGTGGACTCTTGTGATAACCATAATACCCTATCATACATCACTTTTATTCTCTCCCTCATCTGTTTCAGTGCAGTATACACAATTTATCCAGTTTTTCTCAGTCTTACCCCAACCCTGATGTCAGTCCCATTTTACAACAGTGGCATTATATAGTATTTGTCCTTTTGCAACTGAAATATTTCACTCAGCATAATGTCCTCCAGGCTCACCCATTTTGAATAATATTGAATGAGTTCCTTGTTTTTCAATGCCGTGTAGTATTCCGTTGTGTGAATATACCACAGCTTCTCTATCCATTCGTTTGTTGATGGGCACCTGGGTTGTTTCCAACTCCTTGCTACTGTGAACAAAGCTGCGATAAACATGGGTGTGCATATATCTGCTTGGATGTCAGTTATGGTCTCTTTGGGATATATTCCCAGTAGTGGAACTGCTGGGTCAAATAGTATCTCTATTTGCAACTTTTTGAGAAAGTGCCATACTGCCTTCCATAGTGTTTGCACCATTTTACACTCCCACCAACAATGAATAAAAGTTCCAGTTTCTCCACAACCTTGCCAGCATTTGTTGCTTGCTGTTCTGTTAAATTTTGCTATTCTGACTGCGGTGAGATGATATCTCATAGTTGTTTTGAGCATTCTTTCACTTTCAAAAGTATTTTAGTTTGGATGTTGATCTACATGTCATAATCATATATATTCATGATCTTTCAATGTATATTTATAATCTCAACTAGATTTCAAGTTTTTGAAGTAAAAGTCTGCTTCATACTTTTTTATCCCTTTCAGCACCTGATCATATTTTAACTAACATTTGAATGAATGAAAAAATAAAATGCCATAAACAATATAATTTACTCAATGCTTCATTAAAAAACACAGCAGAATAAACACACGGAAAATCTTACATTGATAACATTTCAATATGTGAAATTCTATAGAAGCCAGCATTTTATAGACTGTCTATACTTTCATTTCTTTCTCATACCTTTATTTCCATCCCTACTTTCTGGTATGCTGAATTTGTCTGTTTCAGTTGACTTTTGTTCACACTTTCCATTTTGTTTCAATAATGTGTCATAACTGTTCATCCTGAGCCACTTCTTGATTATTATATTCAATCTTTGCATAAGTCAGAAATAATTTTAACAAACTACAAATTCAAATAAATGGGAGCCACAAGGGTAAGAGTCGATCTACACTATTTTATAATTGTAACACATAGATGTTAAGCTTAAGTTAATCTCTTCACATCTGACTTTCACATTTATCAAATATATAACTAAAACATTCTGTTGATCACTCATTTACATATTCATTTATTTACAGAAAGAAAATCAAACCCACTGAAGATTCAAAAATTCTAATAACCGAAGTTATTACTCTTTAAGTACACTTACTTTTCAATTTCAGGTTTTTCAAGAAAATAATTGTCCAAAGAAAACAAACAGTCATTTGATTTCAGCATTGTTAAAGCTCTGAAAAGTACAAAAGATGGGAAAAATTGTTTATATTTATAAGGATGTACAAAGCATTTCTAGAGAACTATTGTTAATTTCCCGGAATGCCCTGTAACATATAATTACCTTCCCAGATTTATCTTCTACAACTTCTTCCAAAGCACTTTCAAATGTTCTTTATTCTCTATTCTTTCATGAATCGTCACACTTTTAGACCTCTCATACTATGTCAAAGCTTAGAATGTGTTTTCTTCCATTAATCCCCTGACAAGTTCCTACATATCCTCCAAGGTACAGGTAAAATAGGCATTTTTTTTTTCTTCTAAGGCTTCTCTGAACTTATCCTTTTTTCAGAGCAGAATTAAATCCATTTTGGGCCCTACTACTACTTTTGTTCACTCATTGTTATAAATCTTTGTTGTTGTTGTTAAGTGCTGTTAAGTGACCTGCAACTCATAGTGACCCTATGTACAACAGCCCCAAAACCTGTTCTATCCCTTGCCAATCTTATTGTCTCTGACTCACTTATCTCCATTACCCCAGTGACTGAATCAATCCATCTCATCAAGGTTCTTCCTCTGCTGTGCTGTCCCTCCACCTTCCCAAGCATGACGTCCCTCTCCAAAGACTGATCCCGCCTCACAACATATCCAAAATGTCAGATGAAGCCTCAGACTCCTTGCCTCCAAGGAACAGTCTGGCTTCACCCTCTCCAGGATAAATTTGTTTGCTCTCCTAGCAGTTCATGGTATATTCAATACTCTTCTCCAGCACCACAGCTCAAAAGCATCAACTCTCCTTCTGTCATCCCTAGTCATTGTCCAGCTCTCAGAGGCAGAGCAAGTGACTGCAAAGACCATGGCCTGTATCAGGAGCACCTTAGTCTCCAGAACAACACTGTTGCTCTTCAGTATTTTGATGAGGTTTCTGACAGCAGACTTTCCCAACAAAATTAATCTTTTAATTTCTTGGTTGCTGGTACCAAGAGTGTTGATTGTGGAGCCGAGAAAACGGAAGCTGTCAACAATCTCAATCTCTTCACCATCTATCATGATGCTGCCAATCAGCCGAGTGGTGAGAAACTTTGTTTTCTTGATGTTGAGCTTCAATTCATATTGAAGGCTGCAGTGCTTGAACTGCGGCAGCAAGCGCTTCAGGTCTCCTCAGTTTCAGCAAGCATGGTGTGTCATCTGCATAACGCAGATTGTTGATGAATCTACCTCCAATCCTGATGCCACATTGAGCTGTCTCCCGGATAATCTGTTCCACATATAGATTGAAAAGATAAGGCACACAGCCTTCCCAATTTTGAAACATGCAGTCTTTCCTTGCTCTGTTCTGATGAATGCCTCCGGGCCCAAGTATAGGTTTCACATAAACAAACAAGTGTTCTGGGATTCCCATTCTTCTCAGACTCAGTCACAGTTTGTTGTGATCTACAGGGTCAAATGTCTTTGTATAGTCAATGAAACACAGATAGACATTCCTCTAGTACACTCTGCTTTCAGCCAAGATCCATCTGACATTAGCTACAATATCCCTAGTGCCATGGCCTCTTCTAAATCCAGTCTGCATTTCAGGCAGTTCTCTGTTGATGTGCTGTTGTTCCAGTAGTTTTTAGATAATCTTCAGCAGAATCTTGCTTGCATGTGATATCAATGATACTCTTCAATAATTTCTCCACTCTGCCAGATCACCTTTTTACAGAATGGGAACAAATATAGATCTCTTCCAGTTAGTTGGCCAGGATGTTGTCCCTCAAATTTCTTGGCACAACTTGGTGAGCATATCCAGGGCAGAGTCTGTTGAAATATGTCAATCAGTACGCCATCAATTCCTGGGACCTTGTTTTTTGCCAATTCTTTCAGACCAGCTTGAACTTCTTCCTTCATCACCATCGGCTCTTGCTCATATGTTATTTCATGAAATTCTTCTGAGTCCACCAATTTCTTTTGGTACAATGACTGTACACTCTTTCCATCTTCTTTTAATGCTTCCTGGATCATTCATTATTCTGTCTTAAGTATTGCAACTGGAGGTTTGAATTTATTCTTCAATTCCTTCAGCTTAAGAAATGCTGAGCAAGTTCAACCCTGTTGATTCTCTGACTCCAGCTCCTTGCACATTTCATTGTAATACTTGACTTTGTCTTCCTGCATTATCCTCTGCAATCTTCTATTCATCTCAATATCTTAATGTCTTCTCTTTGCTTTGGCTTTTTGGCACTCCAGTACAATATTTAGAGTTTCTTCTGACATCCATCTTGGTCTTTTCTTTCTCCTCTGTCTTTGTAATGACTTTTTGCATTCTTCCTGAGTAATATTCTTGATATCCTCCCACAGCTCATCCAGTCTTCACTCATTCACATCCAAGGCCTCAAATCTGTTCCGGAGATGGTCTTGTAATTCAGGGGGGACTCAAGATCAAATTTTGGTTCCTGTGGACCTGATCTAATTTTCCTCAGCTTCAGCTTGAACTTGCATTATCAGTCATTGGTGGTCTGCCCCACAATCAGCACCTGGCCTAGTTTTCACAGCTGATATTGAGCTTCTCCAGTGATTCTTTCCACAGATGTAATCAATCTGATGCCTATGCATATCGTCAGGTGAAATTCATGTATATACACTGTGTTTATGTTTCTTCTTTTAAAATTCATTTTAATGAAAGTTCAGAGAAACTTTGGATTTCCATTCATTGTTGCACTTTTCTCCCTGCCCACCCCTCGACCCCCGAGTGTACTCTTCTCTTTGAAAAGTAAAAGAAAAGTTCCCCATTGTTTTACAATCCCTTCCCACAAGTCCACTCCACTATGAAGCCTTCATTCTGAACTCCTGTCATGACAATAATACCTAATCATATATCCCTTTTAAACAGTTCTCTCTCTCATCTGTTTCAATGCAGTATACATTATTTATCCCCTCTATCCCAGCCTCCCCTCAACCCTGATGTCAGTCCCGTTTTACAACAGTGGCACTATGCAATAGTCTTTTTGTGACTGAGATATTTCAGTATAATGTCCTCCAGGGTTACCCATTTTGTATAATATTTCATAAGTTCCTTGTTTTAAAATCAGCATAGTATTCCACTGTGTGAATATACTAGTGCTTCTCCATTCATTCGTTGATGTGCACTTGGGTTGTTTCCAACTCTTTGCTACTGTGAAGAAAGCCACAATAAACATGGATGAGCATATATCTGCTTGGGTGGAGGTTATGGTTTCTTAAGGGTATATTCCCAGTAGTGGAACAGCTGGGTCAAATGATATATTTCCAACTTTTTTAGAAAGCACCATACTGCCTTCCATAGCAGTTGTACCATTTTACACTCCCACCAACAGTGAGTAAGGGTTCCAGTTTCTCTGCAACCTCACCAGCATTTGATGTTTTCTGCTCTGTTAAATTTTGCTATTCTTACTGGGGTGAGATAATATCTCATAGTTGTTTTGATTTGCATCTCTCTTAGTGCTAGGGATTTTGAACATTTCTTCATGTGTCTGTTTGCCATCTGAATGTCTTCTTTGGTGAAGTGTCTGTTCATATCCTGTGCCCATTTTTCAACTGGGTTATTTACCTTTATCTTTTTGTGGTGCTCAAGTATTTTATAAATTCTAGATATAAGTCCCTTATCTCATATGTCATTATTTACAATCAGTAAATAGAGGATGAAAAAACAAGTAAACAGAAAGGTTTGACATTTTCAAACAATTTTTCCAATGCAAATATGACTGAAAATAGGCATATTACTTAATATTAGAAAATGGTGAATAATTTATCTTCCCAACAGATGTCTGGTGGCCTAGTGGTAAGAAACTGTGCTGCAATCCCAGACGCTCACAGTCTGAACTTACCAGATGCTCCACTGGAAGAGAAAAGGATGGGCAATCTCCTCCTGTGCAATTTACTGCCTCTGAAAACCCTCTGGAGGATCAGATATGGGTTGATTCTGACTCAAAGCAAACAAGATTGAAATATGTATAAACTGTGCTAAATCATTTATACAATTCCATTAGTGTATTTAAGTTTCATATATAGTCTTTGCCTTTTTATTACTTTTTAATATCAGGTTGCTGATATTTTTGCAATTATTTAATGTTCCCAAATCAGTGGGGGATTTAAAAAAACAACTCAACAACCAAAACTAAAAGTGTAATAGGCTGGTAGTTTCCTGGTGAAGTAAATATACTTTGTATAAACAATATAAATGTCCTTAATCTTTCTTTGAAAAAAAATATTTACCCAGCATTCTTTTACAACTGTCTTCTCATCTGCCTATTTTGTTTCATATATTTTGGGTAGCTTCTTAGGAGGCTCCAAGCTTTGGAAAGACATAATGTCAGGAAAAGTTGAAGGGCATTGAAAGAGAGAAAGAACTTCAACTAAATTATTGACAGTGACTGCAACAATGATCTTTAGCATGATGGAGATTATTACTATGGTAAAGGAGAAGGCAAGAATTCAATTAGTTGTTTATAGCGTCACAGCTAACTGGATGGAACCTAAAAGCAAGAACTCATTGTAAAGTCAGAAAATAATAAACACATATAATTATGATTGGTAATAATAATATATATATACACACACTTATTTTTAAAAAAGATTTTATATTATAAATAATTGTTTATCTCTTTTGGTCTGAGAGCTGAGGTTATGTTTCTCAAATGAGGTCTTTTCTTTGAGAAATACATGTTAAAATGAATGTGGATGAAATGATCTATACTCAGAGATTTGCTTCAAAATAAAGGAAACAGTATTATAGATGAAACAAGATTGACAATGAGTTGTTAACTGCTAAAGTTAAGTGTATGGATTCATTGCTATAGTCAGTCTTTGCTTATTAAGGAGGCTCAGAGGACCAGTAGTTATAAAGTGGCTCCTCAGAAGAACAATGTGGCTGTCTGCTTCACTAAAGATTTATTGCCTGGGAAACCCTAAGGGGCAGTTAGTTAGTTCTACACTGTCTGATAGGGTCACTATGAATTGGAAAAGATGACAGCAGTAGGTTTGGTTTT